AAAATCAAATAAAATATGATAAAACTCGTCTAAATATCAATAATATCAAGGCAAAAATTCCACATTAATATGTATATAAGTTTAGGTCATCAACTATGTTTCAAAATGGGTTGAAGTTGTTGCCTTCCTTACTAATGATGCAAAGATACTAATGAGGATTTTAAAGAAAAACATCTTTACTCATTTTGGCACAACCAAGGCCATTATAAGTGATGAAAGGTCTTAATGTTGTAGCAAATATTGAATTCTCTACTGGTAAAGTATGGGGTGAAGTGCAAAATTGCCATGACTTATCCTCCTCAAACAAGTAGACAGGTTGAAATTTCAATAGGGAAATCAAACACATTTTGGAGAAAACAATGATCACCTAAGAAAAGATTGGCCGCTCAAGCTAGGTGATGCATTGTGGGCTTATTGAATTGCATTACAAACACCAATTTGATTCTTACCATATAGAGTAGTATTTGGGAAAGCATGTCAATGGGTGTTTGAGGTAGAACATCGAGCATATTGGGCTATCAAGAAGCTTAATTTTGACTATCATGTTGCAGGGAAAACAAGGTTATTTCAAGTCAATGAATTGGATGAAATTTGACAAGAGGCTTATGAAAATGCAGGAATTTACAAGGAAAAGACCAAGCAATGGCATGATGAAAGAATCTTGCAATGAGAATTCATTCTTGGTGAAAAAGTTTTGATCTATAATTCTAGATTAAAGCTTTTTCCAAGTAAACTAAAATCAAGATGGTATAGTCCATTTGTAGTAAAACAAAGTCTTTTCTCATAGAGTAGTAAAGGTACAAGCTGATGATAGAATTTTCAAAGTAAATGGACAGTGATTGAAGCACTACTCAACTTATATATATATATATATATATATTTGTTTTGTTTGGTCTTGATTATGCATAAGTTCTGGGGTCACTATGGTGCAATGGACACACAAGCCTCATTGAAGTGAACAAGGAATCATGGGAGTGTTCTTTTTCCTTAATTTTTTTTTATTTACCTTGTCTTCTAGACTTGAATACTGGGGACAATGTTTAATTTAAGTTTGGGGGTAAGGAATCTAGCCAATCACCAAACCATATTCTTTCTTGTTATGCTTTGAAATGTCATTACTAAAGGGATTTTGCTTAAACTATTCAAGTATATGAACATGTGAGTGGAGTTAAAGAGTTAAGAGATCCCACATTGATAAGAAACAAGGTGTTAGAGTGGAATATATATGTTGGAGGCCCATGAACTTAATACGCATGTCTTTTGAGTTCAATATAACATCTTGTCACATGTATTCATGCTTTCAGATCTATGCACTCTCAAGTTGACTTGTTAGACTCTTCCAATGTAAACCATCCATTTTGCATTAGTTTGCAGGATTTGTTTTGCTTTGTGCTTAGTTTGGTAATTTCCAATGCTATCATGATAAGTTCATTATGATTGGGTTTGTGGTAGACTAGATGATGTTTGGATGTTATTTTGTACAATTAAAGCTCATGCATAATTTTTTTTTGGTTCCTTTCTTTCTATTTTTTTATTAGTTCAATTAGTGTCAATGACTATATATTTCTTGAGTTGGAAACTCACAAGCTTAGTCAATAGGAGGGAGATTCTAGAATTTTAAAGGACAAGATACAAAATATGAAAAATAGCACTATTCTAATTATCTTTAAATTCATGAGTATGCTATTTTATTCTTGCACAAGTTATCGGTGAATAGCCTAAGAAGGACTAAGTATTGTAAGCACATGCTAAAAAAGGTAAAAAAGAAGAAGAAAAAGAAAAAAAAAGAGAGAATGTTCAAGTAGCCATGGAGTAATTGGGTGGTGGTGCCTAGTTCAAGCATCATCATTCACATGAAAAGTGGAGAGTTGAGCATCTCTTGAAAGGTGAAAAATGAAAAATAGTCAAATGTTTTGTGGCCTAGGTTACTTGAGTAAGTATATCCTTAAGGTTGTCTCGTCACCTCATGCCCTAAAACCACCTAGTTTGGGAGTCATTGGCGGAAAGCTTGTTTCATAGGTAGCCTAGAAAGCTTAAGGGAACTCACCACAATAAATAAAAATAAAAATAAAAAGAAAGAGAAATAATAGAAAGTGCTAAGGTATGAAAGTCTAGAATAAAAGTTTCTTATTGAGAATTATCACACACATATTAGATGCTCATGAACCAAATCTTTTGTTGACTAAAGATGAAGTATCAAATTAGAAAGAAAAAGAATTTTCTTGACTAAAGATTTTGTGAGTGGATGAAAACTGTTAAATATTTGAATCCTTGTATCTAAATTGATGCTAATTCTTTATTTTTTTTTTGTTCGTCACATGCATATCATGATATAATTGCATCTTGCATTTGGGATTTTATGGGTAAATTCACTAAAAACCCTCATTGGACAAAACTCATCAATTAGGGTTATTTATGGTTTTAAAGGCTTATTGTGTATACTAAGTGAAATTGTGATTTTTGTGAAAGTGAGTTAGGTTTTTTTATCCCTCATATTTCTTTTTATTTTGCTCAAAGACTAGCAAAACTTAAGTTTGGAGGAATCTGATAAGTCTAAATTTATACATTTTTTTACATATCTTTTAATTTTAAGTTTTAGTTCTTTGAGTTTTTGAGACTTATTTTATTTGATTTTACATTTGTTTAATTCTTTTTGGGTAGGTAAGGACTAAATGGTAAAAATTTGGAATTTTTAAAACCAAACTGAAGAAATTAGGACTAGGAAGATCAAAGTGTCAACTTATTAAAAGATAAAAGATCCAAACAATTTTACCAATGAAGAGTCAAATTTGCATGAAAGGCCAAAAACTTGATACAGACTTCCTATTAAAAAAATATAGTAATAATATCAAGACTTCATGTGGGGTGTCAACCCCTTGGGCAATTATTCAACACACCGATTTTAGCATTCAATGACTTAAATTGGGGGTTTTGAGTCTTTTGGGAAGAATACAGTGTTGCAAGGAATTCTGCAACTCTTTCTAAAATTTCTTCACTCAAATCTTTTCAAATTTAATGCAATTAAATGAAAGGAGTCAAAAATATGATATGGCATGTAAATTTGGCAAGAAGGGAGAGGACCCACAAGGTTTTAGAAAGAAGGAGAGGAATAAAAGAGAAACAATGGGGTGTTGAGGGAATTTTTTTTCTAGCAAGAAGAGAGGAGGAACTCCAATAAAAAAGATGGATTCTTTAACGGTGACATTGATCAATTTTTGTTTCTTTCTTTACTTTTGTTGAGAATGAGACTTTGCAATTGGATCCTATACATTTAATTTTGAACTAAGTTTTTTTTTCCCTAGGGTTTCAATTGGATCGAAACCATGAATCTTCAAGTTTTTAGTTGAATTCAATTTTTATTTATTCTTTATTTAAGTGATTATTCTATTTTGTACTTAATGCTTCTAGTTGAATTGATCACTCAATTAGTTGTTTGGGTTGCTAGCATTATCTTAGAAAAGAAAGTGTTGGAGTTGTGTTTTTGAATAGAATAACACAAGTTGTGTTAGATAGGAATATACTCATAATATTTATGTAGTTTCAAAAGAAAAATCATAAGGCTTAAAAATGGTTCTACTTATTTTGATTTATGTAGGAATACAAAACTTGATAGGTTAGAAGACAAATATTACTAGATCTTGGGAAAGATTAATAATTTATATATCATTTTTTATACTGTCACTTGGGACTTGATAGATTGAGAGAATTCAACAAGAGAAGTTTGAAGAGGATTGGGATAGTGAAAATTGTGTCCCTAGATTATTTAGCAATTGGAGTTTAATTTTGCAAATTAGTTTAGTTTATAATTTATTAAATCGTGGTTTCTTCTCAAATTTCCAAAGTTAGATAAAATTAGAATTAACATAACATGTCATAACCTCCACCTCAAACTTTCAATGATGCTATGGTTGGCGAACTAGTGGACGTCTTTTTATCAATAAATGATGAGAGGGGCATCTTGCTAGAGTTTTGTCAATCTTATTGCTAGAGCTAACAAGTTTAGTAGTTTGAACGGGGAAGTGACAACCTCATTTACATGAAATATGCAATAATTGCCAAAGAGGAATGGAGAAAAAAGAACAAAGAAATGTACATTCATCCTGCTTTATACATGAGAAAACACACTTATTCCCATTTCATCATATATCTTTCATATACATCAATAAAAAAGAGAAAAAAATTACAAAAAGATAGGTGGGAGAAGAAGTGACAGATCTTGAAAGGCTTGTCTTCGATGTGCAGGTGTTGTCTCTATCAGAGGCTTCCCCACTATGAAAGCTTACTCTATGAAGAAAATGATGACGAAAAGCTACCTTTTTTTAGCAACAATAGTTAAACATGTGCTAAGAAAGTTAGAAGAGAGCATGAATTAGGGATTGAAGACCATCATCCAATAGTCCATGATAAGATCTTCAGACTTGATGGAGTGCTTTATGGATTTTTGAAGGATCTGGTGACTCAAATGAGAGAAAACTATTGGGTTTTAGAGAGATAAGTTGCTACAACTAGATAGAGAAATTGTCTAGCTCTAAAAGTTGAAAAATTCTTCAAAAATTCTGAAGAAAAAGAACAAATTAGTATTTATAATACCTAAGAACAATCTCATAATTTTATTAAATCAACTAATCTTGGGCCCTTGGATGAGTATCTTGTTAAGATGATGACACATGCCTTTCATCCATGAGTTTCCTCAAGCCACTCATTTTCCATTTGATAATAAAATGCTTTCACTAGAAATTTGAGATTAGTAAAAGCTAAAGAAGACTTTGCCCTATTTGACTACAAGACAACAGAAATTATTTTTAATGAAGTTTATGTTGAAGATTGATAAGCTAAATTTATATAAATATTAATGTGAAATTGTTGCCTTGATATTATTGATATTTGGATGAGTTTTATGAGATTTTACTTGATTTTACATAATTTTCATTTTTTGTGTAGGAAAGGATTTACTTCGAAGAAATCATAATTTTTAGAAGCAAATTGTAGAGATCAAAAAGTTGATGATTAAATTGTGTAGAATCTAGAAGTCAGGGACAAGGACTATAATTTTGCCATTAACAGAAATTGCTTCGAAGGCCAAAAAAAAACCTGACATGATGATGTTGCTGTGCATTGAACAGAAGGTGTCAATACCTTGTTGAAGGTATTGACCCCTTACGCAATTTTCACAAAATCCATGTTAACTTTATAATTTTTGTGTGGATCCCACTTTTATTCCAATTAGGTTTTTTAAAATTTTATAAATACCCATCCAAATTCAGAATTGAGAGAGCTTTGGAGGTTAGAGGTAGCCTTCTTTTGGGCATTATTGGAGATCAAGATAAAGGTTTCATCAACAATAAAAGATCAAAGAGTTTAATTTTCTCTAATTGGGTTTTGTTTTTCCTTAGACTTTTTTATCTATTGTTTGATATTCAAATGTTCATAATTATGATTTCAAGTTTTTTTTTTTTTTTATGAACTGATTTAGTTAACTAGGGCTACGATGTAGCCTAATCAATTCAATATAGGTTATTATGATTTTTACACTTTTGAGATTACTATTCCATGATGAGTATATATTATTGTTTTTAATGTTTGATCACTATTAAAACTGATTTGGAAAGCATAATTAAGATTGAGAGGAGATTTTATGCAATAGCTTCTAGTAATATATACCATGAATTGAGCGAAAGTTAGAGATGGACAAACGTGATTCATGCAGCATTAGTGATAAGTACACTTAAATTCACATAGAGATATAGTGGGTTAATAGATTAAGATAGGTTTGGTCTAACTTGAGAAAGTATATCAAATAGGATAAAAAATCTCACTGTGAAATGAATAGTAACATCTTGAAAGTATAATAATTGAAAATCCATGTTTGTTGATTATTGTGAAGTCAATGCCTTAGTACCTCATAACTTAGTTAATTTTATTTTAATTGCTATTTCCTTCTTATCATCTTTAATTAAAGCTTCTTCTTTTTTTTTTTATTGTTCAAATAAATTTAGATTAATTATTTTAGTATTCAATTAATCACAATCCTCGTTAGTTCGACACTCTACTTATCATTATATTACTTGGAGCGACTAATACACTTGTTAGAGTGATTTTAGTGCATCAGGTTTTTGGTGCCATTGCTGGGGATTGTTAATTTAATTAATATCGAAGTTGGTTAATTCCAGATTTAATTTGAACATTTTCTTTTCTTTTATTTCTTTACTTTATTTTTTCTATTTTCTTTGTTTTTGTTTTTGCATGTCTAACTATGGATCGAGTTGTCATAGATATTGATATGAATTATCAATGTCTTGCTCCAGAGTTAAGAGTACAAGTTGAAGCAACAACTATCAATTGGGAAGTAGAAATTGATGATGATGAACTTGAATGATTTCAAGCAATCATTGAAAAGTTCGAAGTAAAGAAGGCTTTAGCGAAACGATTAAATATCACTTGTCAATGGTGTGGATTCAAACATTTCAGTTTTGATTGCTATTTTAAAGCACAAACGTGTTGATTTTTCTTGTGATCTTTATAGCTAGCAATATAATTCTTATCTCAATACATGCAACTTTGATTGGATAAATTATTCAAACTCCTCATGGAATAATCAAGATATATTGGAGCCACAATCAAGGTTTCCAGCTCAAGAAGAAAAGACACGTTTGGATAGAAATTTGGAGGTCCAATCAAGTCATTCACTTAACTTAGTTATTGAAGAAATACAAGTTGAGTTGCCTAGTGCCATATTGAAAAATCAAGAAGAAGAGGTAAACACTCTATCCTTAGACATTGAAGGACAACTTGAGGAAGTAGAAAGTATAACTGCAGAAACTAAACAAGAGGATGTCCCTAAGGAAGAAGAGGAAGAAGCTTAAGTGTCATTTGACGTGTTCAATGGGAAGTTTCCATTAGCCAAATCTGATTTTAGTGATTATTTTGTTATTGATATGGTTAATGAGATTTTGCAAGAAAGCACTTATGAGGATCCACTTGAGATTTATCTTATTCAAGCAAAGGACCCAATCAAAGAATATATAAATTGCTTGAACACATCTTCATCTTGCCTGGAATCAAAGAGGGCTATCTTAGAATAATTGGGAAGGCACATCTCTTGGCCTAAACCCAAACCACCACAGAATAGTCATTGGAAAAAATCTTATGGTGGATTCAACTTAAGGGCAAGGAAGCCAAGATTTAAGAAAATGAGAGGACATGCCCTACGACTTGATACAAAACCACCTTGTAGTGGTAGAAAGTCTAGCTAATGACTATAAATTTAGCATTTCTTAGGAGGCAACCCAAGCATAAATTTTTGGGCCAAAGCCCCTATTTTCACCCTCAATTTATTTTTTTTCCGCGGTCAACACCTTCCAGAATTTTTCCTCCCTATTCACACCCTCCACTTTTCAAAACCCGTAAAAAAACCCAATATTTTAATGGGCCATCACGGCACCGTTAAAAAATGCACTACGTGGCACCCAGAAATTGACGTGGCACATGTGGCGTTTTCTTATTCGTTAGGTTCAGATGTGGATCTGCTTTTTGATGATGTGGCGTCCACATGTTTAGTGGGGCCCACTGCGCGGGACTTTTCCCACTTGTCCCCGCGTCCCACCAAAAAAAAAAAAAAAAGGAAACCTAAAAACCCAAAGATCTTAAAACAGATCTGCAAAACCATTTTGGGGATTTAGGGTTTGTCTTCATTTTCCTCTTAATCCTCACTGAGCTTTTCCATGATCTTCCTCTTTCACTGTCTTCTCCTGAACCCAACCCCAATTTATGATAAGAGAGAAATGTCACGAGGTTCTACTTCATGTGGTGCATCGACTTCGTCTAGCCATCCTCCTTTCGTCTTATATGATGGTATCCCTGAGTACGACTACCCACCACCCATTCGCCATTGTGACTGTGGTAAGTTTGCTCCATGGTGGACTACATGGAGGGACTCAAATCCAGGTCATCGCTTTTATGGATGTCCAGATTTTAGGGTGGGTTTCACTTTCAAAAAAATATTATTATTATTATTATTTTGGCTTTCAGTTTTGAACAATGATTTTATATGCTCAATTTGGTTACAGGAAGAGGATGTGTCGAAGAAGTGTGATTACTTTGTGTGGCATGATACAGACTTCACCCAAAGGGCCAAAGATGTTATTTGGTACCTCTATAATGAAAGGAAGAAACTGTTAAGGGAAAATTCTGAGCTAAGGAAGCAGTTGAAGCATAGTCATGAGGAAGAGGTTGAGCAAACGAGGCAAAGGCAAAGTGTTAGTGTGAACGAGGGAATAGAGGAAACTACAACTAATCAGCCAGTGGAAGAAGTTGGTTGTGATCAACTGTCTAAAATTAATAAGGTGGAAAAGAGGATGCATGAAATGGAGAATTTGTTGGAAAAGAAAATTTAGACTGCATTCTGTAAACTTGGATGTGTTATTGTTGCACTTTGCTTTCTGAATTTAGCATTTATAAACTTCTTGTTTTGGTAGAATGTTGGAAATTTGAGTGTGGTTAAGTGTGTTTTTGGGCATTTCATGTAACTTTGGAAATGGCTAGAAGTTATACCCAATTTGGCCAAAAATTTATCTGCATGAAATGAAATCTCTTGTTTTGTTGTGTCCATCACTATTACTTGTTTGCAAGCAAGGTGTACAAATAATTTCCATTTTTGGCCATTCATTGAAAGAAAATATACAAAACCAAATCCCCTATTCGACCATACATTAAGTGTTGTTTTTGTAATTTACTGTTACAAAATATTGAAAATGGTGAATCTATATGACCATATATACTGTTGTTTTTGGTCATGACCTTTACAAGCTATATAGATAAGGACATGACATTGGTTTAACCTATTTGGTCACAATTTGAATAAACCAAAGCCCTAGATGACCACTATTCAAAAAAGACAAAAGTAACTAACAAAACATCTCCATTTAAAAAGCAATATTTAAGCCTTCTCATTGCCTTCTGTTGTGGTAGGTCTTGCAGGCACACTACTGGCAACAGCATCATCAACACCCTACATCATTCAACCAGCAAATGCATTTAACAATCTAACTATAAAACTTATATAAAAAAAAAGGAATATGGTTTCAAAAATACAATAAAGGTCCCTATGGCTGTAGGGATCCTCGCCTTCTTTCTCTTGCTACCTGAGGTTGAGGCACTTTCACCTCTCTGTTTCTTTCTCTTGTTTACACCCTAGAACAAAAAAAAAACAGTTTTAAAGCATGTTCCTTCAAGCATCCACTAAACTCATAAGGGAGAAATACAGTTTCAAAGGGAAAAATATCCTCAATCACCAACTAAATTATATAAAAAAAAAAGCATATCTTTTTACCAACCAAAAGTAATCATACTTACAGTGATTTTCACTCTTGCACTTGCACTCTCATTTCTACCTTCTTCATTGTTATATGGGCATGTTCTCCGATTGTGCCCTTCATTGCCACACACCTTGCATGTCATTTGTCTCCCTTTTCCAGTGAGCTTCCTAAGCTTCCCTTTCTTCATCTTTTGTGGTTCACCTTTATGTCTTCTTCTCTTTCTCCTCGGCCTCTCTGGCATGCTCCTAACAGGTGGTGGTAACAACTCTTCTTCACCCACAGCTTTCCATGCTTTTGTCCCTTTCCTTATGCATTGAAGAGGGTATGCATAGGCAGCCAAATATTTTTCTTTCTTATAGAAATCTGAAATGTAGTGCTCTACTCTCCACCTTTTGTACCTTATGCAAGCCAAAGCATGAGGGCAAGGAACCCCCAAGAGTTGCCAGTATCTACATGTGCAAGTTTTGTCATCAAATTTCAGAACATGCTGATTCCCACCATCATTGACCTCAAACTCATTAACCCCATTTGGCTGCACACCACATCCTTGTGACTCTGCCTTCAGTTCCTCAAGCTTTTTTCTAATTCTAGGAGCAATGTCATCACCTTCAGGTCATTTTTCTATAAACAACCTTTTATCAGCTATCCTCATCATCAACTGATCCCTAATATGATCATTCATTGCAATTATCGCCTTACACCTTGCCCCTAGTATCCAAGAGTTGAAAGTTTCAGAAATGTTGTTGTCAATTGAATCACATTTACAATTATCCTGGATAAATGCTTTGCACCAATGCTCTTTAGGGTACCCTAACAAGTCATCATGTCCTTGCCTATTCTTTGCAAACAAATCACCTAACTTATCAGTGAAATCATCCTGAAATGTTGCCTTTGCACAATTCCAGAAGCAAATCTTCATCTCATCACCTCTATGACCCAACTTTGCCCAATTGCAATAAATATGCCTTGCACAATGCCTATGCTCAGCCTTGGGTAATATTAACTTTATAGTTGATAATATAGCCTATACCAATAATTAAAAACAATAACAACAACAATGAGTAATTTTACAACAATTAACATAAAGTTTTAATAATTAAAAATAATAAATGCATATAAATAAATGAATAAAAGCTACTGATGTGTTCACCTGATGTTCATTTGACATAACTGTTACGCCTGCACCAATGCCAAGATCTAAATCAGTTTTCAGTAGTTCAAAGAACCACTGCCATGACTCAAGAGATTCAGACTCCACTATTGCCCAAGCAATTGGAAACATCTGGTTGTTCCCATCCTTCCCAACTATAGGTAGCAGAATTCCCTTACATATTCCCTTCAACAAACAGCCATCAACACCAAAGAACCTTCTGCACCCAACCTTCCAACCTTGCTTTAGGGAATGCAGACAGACATACATTCTATGGAAAGTTCTAGTATCACTAGAACTTGTTTCAATGCCAGTGACAACAACAGTATTCTTTGGATGGCTATCCCTCAATATTTTGGCGTAGCTCTTCAAGTATTTGTATTCATCAACATAGCTACCCTCTAGTTGTGTCATAACATACTTCTTTGCCTTTTCTGCCTTGTCAAGTGTGATGTTCACTTTAATTTCAGTCTTGCACCACTTAACAATCTTGGCTGGCTTTGTAAATGGTGCTTCATAAATCCTTCCTTTAAAAAGATCTGCTACAACCTTGTAAGTTACAAGCTCATTGTCATAAGATTTGAAGCATCTATGCTCCCCATAGTATGTCTTCACCACAAAACACTCATATCTGCTGTCATAAGATGCAAACAACTCCCATTTGCACCCTGTTTGGCATATAAACCTCACCTTAGTACGTTCATTTCTGACCTTTCGTAGTTGAGCTTGCTTTTGTATGGAGTATTTACAAACTGCCGTTTTGAATTGCTTTGCATCTTTGAACCTCATCCCAATATCAAAATATGGGACCTTCCATTTTGGGTTATAATAGGTTTGACAGACATTTCTGCTAACAACATGATTTGGTTGCACAAAGATGTCATCCTCATCATCTGAATTCCAATGAAATTCCCAAGCACCAGGATCATCACTGTTTGCATAATCAGACTCCCTGTCTTCTTCATCTGTAGAGGAACCATTGTCATCACTAACAAGCAATTGCTGCGTGCTGTCAATTGGATCACCTCTTCTCACCCTATCCCCACCACCTCGTCTGACTTGATGCTGAGCAACAGATTTCCTTTTTCTACCTCTACTGCATGTTGCAGTTTCTTCTATACCAGCAGCATCTGTCACAGTAACTTCTTGGACAGTAGCTTGATCAGCTGTGACTACAGGTTGCTGTTGTTGCTCTTGAGTTACTACAGGTTCTTCAACATGATCATCTTCTTGCTCATTCCTAGTTGCAGTTTGCATAGCTGCCTTAGACTTCTTTCTACTACTTCTTGTGGCATTTCTCCTTCTCTTCCTAACCTCTTGAGCCAACTTAGCAATATTGACTTGCTTATCATCAGTTTTGTCACTCCCCAATGACCATGCACTATCATCTGAACTTGTCTCCCAGTCAATAACTGACACATCATTACTACCACTTTCGACATCACTACTTTTTTCACTTCCTAAATTACCCTCATCCCCATGCACAGAAACTTCACTACCACTATTGTCACCCTCATCTTTGGAAACATCCCCTGTGAGCAATAGTGGACCCTCAACAATCTCGGGTATATTGATGTCATGGTCTACATACAACTCCACATTGCCAGCATATGAAATTATATCATTCATCTCCCTAATTGCACTGTCTGAATTACAAGAAACTAATCCATCTGGCATATCCATCCAAGGTTGCATATAGTAAATGTCTTTAATTGAAACTCGATCATAACCTTGTCTAACAACATAGTCAGTAATCATAAATGAATTCAACCTATCCGTATCACATAGAACATCCTCTTGTACACCCCCTACATATCTAAATGGTGGTCCCTGTGCAAAACGCCCACCATAATTGAACCATATAATAGCTCCACTTGGGTCCCCCATTACTGTACAACAAATAAATTAATATCATTAAGGCATTACTTCATTAATTAAACTAACATAATAAGACAACACAAAGCACACTGATGGTGGGACACAAT